ATCCTCTGATTTCACTCTCAGAATCAGACTAATCAGTTTGGGAAGGAAGAATCCATTCCTATTTCTTTGTCCCTTCCTCTTGCTTTAATTCCTAAGTTGCATGGCTCTCCTGAAATCTAAAGTTTGCTTCTGTGTCTCAAAAGCAAAATTATGAAAGAAAATCCTACCGATAATTTCAGGTGGAAAAGTAGAGAGAAATGCAATTTGACTGTGAATTAGGTGGAATACTGGTTCATCTTGGTAAACTAAGCCCGTCCTTTATTAATCCTTGACTATTGGCCATATTTTCACTGAAAATTATTTACTTCTGTTCCAATAGGACAAATTCAAAGGAGGGATAACATTATGGAAGAACAAGTTCAGTTCTTTCCCATTTACTAGATTACATAATTCCTCTAGCGTGGGCTCTTTTTAAAAAACCTCAAGATTTTACACAATCCTACATGTCAAAGTCATGGTCAGAGTTAACAGCAGATCATGGGCAAAAGGTCTAGAGGTCAGAAAGGAAGAAATCTCAAAGTGCTGATTACATTTTTAAGCTTATGAAAGGAATAAATATTAAAGGTATAGTCTCCAAGTTAAAGACTGAAATGCATGCTGTTTAAGAATAGGACTCTTGTCTTATATAACCTTGATTTCCCCTCAGGGTCTGCGTCTGTGTGTTGCATTTTGTAGATGTTAAGTAAATGTGTTTGAATAGATAAATTGCTCTTCTTCTGTTTTCATAGGTATGACTTGTAGAGTTGGAAATAGATAAGCATTCTACACACACACATCCAAATTGCCCATGAATGCTGCATGTGTCTTATAAAAAGATGTAGGTGGGATCATGACATTTTAGGAACACCTAAACATTCCTTTTGACTAATTTAATTCTGGTTCCTATTTCTCAGAATGGTTACTAGATTCTTGGTAGTTTAGATATGCACATCTGGATGATTGCTTTTCACATGTCAGTATAAATTGTGTTTAAACCACATCAAACCAAAAATCCTGCCCTCATGTGGCTTAGATTCCGTTATAGGAACACAGACAACAAATGACACATGTAAGTGAAAAAGTACATTGTAGAGTTGTTATATTTTCTTTCTTTTTAGAAGATAGTGCATTAGTTTGCTATTGGTACAAACCACCTGAAAACCAGGCAGCTCAGAACAACATTTATTATTGCTCACTAGAGCAAGAGGAAATGAAAGCATGAGGTGGTGGGACATGCAGGCAAACCAGTGAAGGTTTAGGTTGCAATTGCAATTTTAAATAGGTCACCTTGCTGAAAAAGTCATGGTGATATGAGCCTTAGATGATCCCAAATAACCCACATCTCTGAGTCTTTCTTATATTCTCTTTATTTTAGTGTAGGTTTGACTAACAAATAGAATATGGCCAAAGTGACAGGATGCTATTTCCAAGACTGGGTTATGCCCTTCTTGGATGCCCTGGCTTGCTTACCTGATGGAAGCTGGTACCGTGCCAGGAGGTGTTCTGTGGAAGAAGATCCATGTGGCAAGGAACTGAGGGAGACCCAAGTTCTCAGTTCAGTAGCCCCCCAGGAACTGACTTCCAGTTAACAACCCAGGGAGTGAGTTTAAAAGTGGTCTTTGCTCTGTTGAGCTTAGAGATGAGACCATAGCCCTGGTGACACTTTGATTCAGAGAATATCCAGGCACCCAGGTAAGCTGCATCTGCAATCCTGACTGCAGAAGCTATGAGTTAATAGAGTCTGTTGTTTTAAGTTGCAAGATTTGGAGTTCTTTGTTACCTGACAATGGATAAGTAATACAGTGATGTCTGAAGACAGTGAGGGAGGTGGTGATGCGGCTATCTGGGGGAAAGGCATTCCAGGGAGTAGGAACAGCCAGTGCAAAGGTCCTGAGATAGTAGCATGACCAATACTTACAAAGAACAGCACAAAGGCCTGTATGGAGCAAGCCTGAATGAGGGCTTGTTTATAAGGAGCCAGATGATGAGGCCTAGTGGGTTAGTATAAAATCTTTAGCCTTGATCTGAGGGAAACTGGGAGCTGCAGAGAGCATGCTGTACCAGGACCTCATTTACGTTTTTGAGAGATTACACTGGATTGTGTTGCGAATCAGCCACAGCAAATAAGGGACACCAATTAGGAGACTGTTACAGTAATCTAGGCAAAAAGTGATGGTAGCCAATACCAAATGAGAGTACAGTGGTGATAGCACGGGTGGATTTTGAACATATTTTGAAGGTAGAGTCACTGAATGGTTTGTGGGGTGTCGGAGAAATACCAAAAAGACTCATGGTTTTTCAGCTCAAGTTAAAAAAAAAAAAAGGCGGGAAAACTATAGGCATATCAGGTGAAGGGTGAGCAAAATAAATTACCTTTAACCATGCTGAACTTAACATATCAATTAGACATCAAAGCAAGGTATTAGGTAGATGACTGAGTAGATGGGTCTAGAGTTTGGCAGTGATATCTGGTCTAGGTATGTGAATTTGGAGTCCTCAAAATGAAAATAGAATTTAAATCACGAGACTAGATGGGATCACCAAGTATTGAGGGGAAGGGCCCCCAAGCTGAGTGTTTAGATTTTTCAGCGCTCAGTGAGGTAATAGAGGAGGGATGGGCAGAGGAGGAAAACCCAGCAGTAGTGCCTTGGAATCAACTGGAGAAAGTATATCCAGACGAAGTGGCCAATGGCAGCTACTGTGCTGGTGAAGCTCGGAGAAGTGACCATGGGACTTTGGAGCTGTTGTCACTGTTGGTGACTCTTTCAAGAGCATTTCCAGTGAATCCCGAGAGCCATGGAATAATGAGTGGGTTGAGAAGTGCGAGGGAAAGAACAGAAGTTAATGAGAACAGACAGGTCTTTCCAGGAGTTATGCTGCTAAGGCAGCAGAGAAACGGGGTGTTATCTATCTGGTGAGGGAAAAGGTGATAGAAAGGTGTGTGTCTTCTGATGGTGATGTTGAGAAGAAGGCAAGAAACTGGTGACACAGCAGAGGAATGGCCAAGAATTCCCTGAGATTGGCAAAAGGTCATTCCTCTGCTATGTCACCAGAACTGAATCTAGCACTTGAGTAGAGGATCCAGCTTGGGTAAAAAGCCAAATTCTGTACTTTCAGGAAAAAATTGTGACTTTTGAAATAAGATAAAAATATTATTGTTGTCCTGCCTAGTAGGCTCTTTTATCTTTCATGAGCTTGGAGGTATTTTATAACATTAATTGTAGATGACGGATGGGAATACAAATAATTCTTTTCCAAAGACCTACGAATGAACTTCATCTAGTGTACACACAATTGATTTCCTTTGCCCATTAAAGAAGCCAGTTTTGCATCCATTAAGCAGATTCATTTTGGCATGCCTGATTGTCCATGTAGGTATGTCTTCAGGATTCTTCTTACAATTGATTCTAACATCTTACTCATTCCTTGATTCATGAAATAAATAAAATCTTTGGCACATGCTCCTTTGATACTAATATGAGAATCATGATTTTACATTCCTTTTTAAAAAAGTATCCTCCAGCAATCGTGATGCACACAGGTGCTTAGGTGTGGCAGTGGTGACCTACTGGAAACTCTCTTCCAGGAGCTCACTTTCCTGAGGGCAGAGGACATGTAGTTAGGAGAGTGGTGGAGTGAGTGCCTGGGGAGGTTTTAGCATGATTGCAGCCTGGAGGCCACTGAGGTTAGTGGTCAAGGGTTTAAAACAATCTGAACTGGACAGAGTTCCCCAGGTGCACACTGCATCATGCACGCACCGAGAGCGAGCTGGGTTTCACCAGATTGGGGGTGGGGGTTGGGGGCAAGAGAGCTGAAGACAGGTACTGATTATGATTTACTTGGAACTTAAGCAAGGTAAGGTGATAAGAGAAGACTTGTGAGCAATGAAGGACAATGAAAATGTGATAAGATAAATAAATTGGAGGTTCTAGTGGGGTTGAAAAATTGCTGGAGTTACAGCACTGGGAAAATGAACTGGAAAGAAAGAAAAACACCATCTTTATTTGGGGCCTGCAATCTGAACACTCTACTGTTTGGTGATCACTTACCTGTTAACCACTAAACTTGTGTGTGTGGGAGGGCAGGTGTTTTACATGGATTGCTTCCATCTTCTTCTGTTCTACTCTTATGGGCTCTCCCAATGAGATGATCACATGAAATCAAGTCTCCCTTTGTTTCTAGAGTGAACAGAATCTGCAGACAGGGAGGCAGCATGATGAGCAAGTTCTTTATGGAAGGTTGTGCAGTTTGTACACTGCACAAAGGACACCAGGCTGAGGGAGCAAGTGGGGCTGACAGCCAACCTGAGCTCTGCTCATCCAGCTGCAGCCCCAAGCCCAGCTGCTTTTTGTGCCCACAAGTCTCATGCTGCTACACTGGGGATGTTCTAAAGTGATGCTTTTCCTAACCCATAGAGAGGCCAAGGAGCCCTGACAAGATGAGCTTTTACCCTGAGGGCTGGACATAAGAGAAGGAAATCTGTCCTTCTGTTGAGAAATCCCTTATGCACTGGTGTCCCCTAAGTGCTTCAAGTGTTCAGTCTTTTTGAAGGAAGAGGCCTAATGTTATACCTTTTCAATTATGTGCATAGAGTAACTTTTTATAATACAGTTTACATTTGAATAATTTAATTTTGTCTTCCCCTAAACCAATACATGCCTCTCTTAGGAGAGCTTTGCAATTTGGGAACAATGATGAATATGTCACATGCATTATTTATGGACTGTTGCCCCTTCCACTATTTGTTGTATATCAGAAAAATCCTAGGTTACACAATTATATTTATAAAAACCAGCTGAATGTTTTTCCCCCTGATAAGTAACATAAAAGAGATGGAAGAAACTGTTGTAGATAGGTTAAAGGAGTAAAAACATTCTACTTGCCTTCTTACTATTTTAAGATCTTCTTTAATGTATCAGTTCATTTTGAGACACATGATCTGTCAGTGGTTCTGGAGTTTCCAGATTTCTTCAGTCTTGCATATATTTACAGTTTCCTTAAATTGAGTATCCATTAAATTCATACAAAAATATCTGCAAAGGCTTTCTTTTTTTTTTTTTTAGGTAGGAATTCTAGCAGTAACTACTCATTGAGTTAAAAATATAATACAGAACACAGCTTTATGGAGACAAAGTAATTCATGCTTACTGTAAGCAAATGTTAGTATGTGGGATGAGCTAGAACTTGGAGACTCGTCAAAAAACAAACTTTCAACATACTTTGAATAGTCAGTAGTGAATCCAGAGACTGCTGCTTTGAGGTAGTTCAGTATCATTTCCTTACCTTGATGGCAGCCTAGAATAAAAGGTCAAGGCTATTCACACAGGAAAGTCAAGAATCTCCACCTCCACGCATTTTCTGGGTCATTCTTGTGAAGAATTTGTGAGTCTTTGTGGGCTCTCCCCTTAGAGGCACAGAATTATTTTCACTTGCACAAAACAGTGCTAATTCTGCCCTTAGAAGCACAGCACATTTTTTCCCCCCATTCCTTTCTTTCTTTTTATTTTTTTTCAGTGCTGGAGATGACCCAGGGCCTTCTGCTCTACCAGTGAGCCACGTCTCTAGCTGCTCACAATTCTCAATCATGCACCATCAGTTAAGCTTTCACCAAAAGCCATGCTAGTTTGTCTGAAACTCCTTTGAAGACATCACTATTTCCTTTTTAATTTCCAACTAGAAATGCATTGTTCGGGCACAGAAGAGAAGGGAAAGTAAGAGACAGGGGACAGTGTGCAAGGGACAGCAAGGACAGGAACAGGAAACGGCAATGCTTTCTCATAGTTCCCGACAGAATACGTTGTGGGCATCTGCTCACTATTTTACTTCCAAGTACAGTAAGACTCCAGAACATCAGTCAGATCCTAGGCATAAAATTGCATGCTAAAGTAAAATACAACTTTTCCCTCAATAATTTATTTAAAATTACACAGCCTATTTGTGTGGAGATTAAAACCAACCTAAAATATGCTTTATATTTCAAAGTAGAAATGCTTTTGTTCCAAGGTCCTGATTTGGAGAACAGCAAATTCCAACTGACAAATGGAATGAATATGTCATGTATTTGAACAGACTGACCAATGGGCTCAGTAAGTGGTATTTGATTGATGGGAGAGAAAATGTGACATCAGAATGAATGAAAGAATTTCAGGATGTGTTTTGCTATGCATGTATTTAAAGTGAGATTTAAAGGAACTGGTTTTAATCTAGGCTTACTACCCAGGATGAAGCTGGGGAACATACTATTAGACTGTGCTTTTGATGTGTCTGATTAATAATGAGATTCTTTCCCCCTTAGCAAGGCACAAATAAGTGCACTTAGTGGACTATAATGCAACATTTGCATAAAAGGAGTAAGTTAATATCTCACCCAGGAGCTAGAAAGTCCTATGCTGTGTGAATGTGCTCAGGCTGTAGTATTATTGTTTAAGATTTAGTTTTCCTTTCATGCTATGCATTTATTTCCCTTTGACTTAAGCATGGATATTGTCTTTAGCATAAGCAATTTAAAGTGTAAACTTTATTCCTAGATATCTCCAAATTCATTCTGTTAGTTGAAATGCACTCAGGTGACATTATCCAATTTGAATAACTACTGCTGAAGGAGGCCTCAGTAGTACCTGGTTCAGAGCATATCAGTTCAAAGAAGGTTTTTTATGCATACGTATAAAAATATTTTATTTTTCAATGCTTTTGCTTTTAAAGGACTCTCTTGAAAGGAGTGTCAAAGAAGAATTAAGTAAGTTTTAAAAGTTTCTATTAGGCTGACTTGCAGGGGAGATGAGTGGAAATGGCTTCATTTCATAACTTTTCAAATTTCGTAACTTTTCAAATGGTTTCATAACTGGAGATTCTTGTGCAATATGTGACAGTATAGATTAACCCCAACGACTCATCTTTCTTTGAAACGGTTGGTGTCAAATTATATGTTAATGTTATTTTCAAATGTTACATCTGCTATAATTGAACTTTACAAATATTTATTGAACCCCTACTATATCCCTCACTATCTAGTGCAGTCCATTGTTCCCTAACAAGCTTTCCAGCTGCAGATGGTCTTGTCTCCTCTTGGTGTACATGTGTATGTGTGTGAAGCTGTCTGGACTTGGTTAGTGTGCTTGTGAAGCAGCTTGGAAAAATCTTGTCTACTTTTTAATTTGTTGGTTGGCTTTGTAAAGCATGGCAGAAAGCAGAGGTGGTAACCCTAAGTCTGCCAGAAGTATTTCTTCTTTGAAGACACTCTGAAGATTTATCTGCTCCAGGATATTGCTTTGTTCACTTGGTAAAGCATTTATGGAACAAAGAATTTTAAACAGTTCTGCCGAAAGTGCACTTTGGTCTCACAGTCTCTAGGCATTGAACTTGCCACCTAACTTGCTTTCTTCATGACTGAGGTTCTCTCAAAACAAAAATGGTAGGAAAGCTTTCCTATGCTTTGGGTAGGAGACAAATTTGCTTTTGTAGAATTTGTGGCTGAGGAAAGCAGACAGGGCCTGGCTGAAGAAGACATATGTCACCACTAGCCACCAAGTTAAATTGTGGAACCCAAAGGTGACAGCCATAGAAATGTAGATCATCAGCTCTGCTAAGTAGTTAGGGGAAGAAACATATTCAAACCAGTCTCCAAATGGGATCCGATGGTTGCAGTGAATGACCACTCCTGAAATGGAAAAGACGACTTCATGAGCATCTCAAATGTTATCCAAATCAAGTGTTAACCACTTTAATTTCCAAATCATTCACGGGTACTCTCAGGTTACTTTGCCAATCATAAGCACAAAGGAAAGCAGATTCCTTCAGCAACCCTCCACAGTGGTCACCGAGAGCTCAGACCCTGGAGTCAGATCACATGTGTCCCTATCCTGGCTCTCCAGCTTACTAGTGGTGTAACCTAAGAGGGGTGCTTAATCTCATTGTGCCTCTGTTTCCTCAGGTGTGAAGTGAGGTTTAGATTGTACTCATTTCATGTGAGATTTGTACATGTGAACACATGAAATAGGGCCTCATATAGGGTAAGCACTGGATAAATACTAAAAAATACTACTCCATTTTTAGTACTTCAAGTAGCCTAATGAAAACTGTACTGGTGATACTAGCTAACTGGAAGGTCAGGTTGTTTTGTTTGGGCTGGGATGATACTCACTGCATGGCAATATGAGCTACCATGTGTGGATCGATATTTCTGTGCACTGCAGTCCCCAGAATGTGGGCACAACATAAATCACAGACTGTCAGAACTTATGAGGCTGAAAAGATTGTCAAGGGGAGCCTTGTTTTATAGGCAGGGAGATCAACCCTTAGGAGGTATCTTGTCAAGACTGGGTATTTGGCATAGATATCAGCTAACTAGGGCAGCAATGAAAAGAATAAAGGAACACAGAGAACTGACTTCTGAGGGTTAAAATCCACACGGAGTGGCTCCAAGAGATCTCACCTGCTTTATTTTTTCTGAGATTGCCGAGAATGACGTGGCATTTATATTGATGGGCAGATGACCAGAAGAACATCATCATTCCCAGGATGTGAAACCAGCGTGCTTGCATCAACAGATTTTTCCCTATTACATAGACTACAGAAAAAAGAGTCATCTTATTAGCCAAGTCTGCAAAGTTTCAGAGACTCTGGGAATTAAGAAATCAAGTTATCCTGGTCTAATTTCCTCTGCACTAGGGAGCCATGCTCAGCTGTGGGCAGCTTCAATGGCCGCTGGCAAGGAAGTCCATACTGATGCTTTCTCTTGCTCCTTCTCCAAAGGTTTCAGGCACACACTAAGCTCTATCTCCCCTTGTGTGATATACCTTTAGGTGGTGAGTCTACTTTTTGTAGACTTCTTGCTTGCATTTTATGGTCAGGAAAACACTTTCTAAAGAAATCTCTTAGCCATTGCCAGAGACATCCTGAATGCAAAATACTGAGTTGACTGGCTCTGGCCAGTAAAGAAAATCACTGGAGGTAAAGGCTGAGGGTGGACTCCTCACAGAGGGGAGAAAGCTAAAACTGCAAGACAATCAATGTAAAGGTGTCCCCTTCTGGATCAAAAAAAAAAAAAAAAAAAAAAACCAGTGAAAGAGATTGTTTCAAGAGTAGAAACACAACTTCATCTTCTTTCTCTCTGGCTACCAAGGAGGGAGGAAGGAAGAAGGCAAACCAGCGAAGGACACGAAGAGCAAGCCCCTGGGCACTGGAAGGACAAAAGAAGGCCTCTCTATAAGTAACAGGACAGAGCTGGCTTATGAGTCTTGACAGAAGAAACAAAAGGTGTCCACTGGTTATGGACGAAAGCCTGGGCTCTAGAGCCAAGAAGGGACTCCTAAAACACTGATCACGTAAGAGAACCATGGGTCATGCTACTCCACGTGGTACTCACAGGTGGGAGTCAATTGAGGACAGCTTCTGACTAATGGCAATCCACCCAGGTTCCCCTGTGCCAATTTCCATTAAGACCTTGTTTCCTATCAATCTTTATAGCCCTTTAAATGTCCATTAGGCTTAGTCATTTACAAAGGTTATATTTTTATAAGTTAAAAATAAACAAAATATGAAAAGTACAGTTTCAATCTGACAGGGTTTAAGAGCAAATCAGTCACTGTAGAATTAAAAGTTAAAGCACGTACCCAGGAGTTCAGATCTCTATATTGCGTTCCCTGCTCTAAATGCAGAGACGAGGATTTGTAAGAGTAAGCAGGAATTATAATGCAGGAAAGGGGAGGCAGGTGGAAGGCGCCTTCTTACTGACAGTATAAATTATGTAGTGTCTTATTATTCATGCATCCATTAGTTATTTATTGAGTGTCCTTGAAGCTGGCACTGCAGTAGGCACAAGGGATAAAGCAAGAGAAAGTCAGGCCAGACCCTAGTTTTCCTGGAGCGACATTCTGGCTTGCAGATCTTTTCACTTCCACAAGGACCTGTGAAGTCGGTCTGTGCCCCTAATTCTGGACAGGGGCTTTGAGGCCCAGAGAGGTTCAGTGAGGCTGAGCTACGCCCAGCAGACTCCCACGCCCATACGGTTTCTAGCTGACGCCTCTAGAATGCCCTAATGTGTTCTCTCTCCGTGAAAACAACCCTCCCATGTTATCCCAAATGGCCCCAGATGACCTGGTGAAGGATAAATAGATGAAACAGAAAACAGCTTCAGAAAAGAATGTTCAGAAAGCTACTTTTGTGGGTGCCTCAACTCCATGGGAGGGAAAGCAGAAGCTGGGCTCCAGCCGGGAGGAAACTGCAGAAGAGCTAGTAACGCCAACAGAGCTGACACACAGGAAGCCAGCGGGTTTCGAGAGAGCTCTAGTTCTCTGGATGGAACACCAGGAATGACAGCTCGTACACTGCTACTGGCTGTATTCTGGTAGCGTGGTGAACGCTGCAGCTGAACCACTAGGGAGGAAGAACTGACTTGATCTGAGTTCAGAGGAATCAGCTGGAGAGGGATTTGCTGGCAGAGTGGCTGGAGCCAATGAAAACTTCAGGAATTGAGAAAGGTGGTCAGTAAGCCCTGCTTTAGGATCATTCCCCTAGCCACAGAGATGGGCTACAGCAACAGAGGACCTCAGGGTCCTGACACAGAAGTCAGACCTCACTCATTAAGTATTGGAAATATCTAGACTTCGGTCTCAATTTATGAGGATGGACAGGGCAGCTTTAGGATACCTGGAGCCTAGGACTTAAGAGAGAAAATGGTCATGAAAGAGCCACAGTGTCTGGGCTGAAGGACAAGCTGCAAGTCAGGCGGACCTCAGCACTAAAAGCTCATTTCAGTCACCCAAAATGACCTGACTGCTTCATTTTGTTTTTTTACAAATACTAATTTTCATATATGTTAGGTGAGCCCCACTTCCTACCAAAAACAAAAACCCATATTTCCTTCTGACAGAGATTTTTTCATTTCTTCCTGGCTGGAGGGAGTTTAGAACCTTAAGGCAAACTTCACTTACCATGACACTCTTGCCCCCTTCCCTCGGGCTGGGCTGCCTCGCAGGGGGAGAAGCGTTCTTACAAGAGGAGTCATCCCCAGAACTAATGCAACAAGAAGGTTCCGGCTTCCTCTTCCAACAGGAATGTCCACCAGGAGCACACCTCCTCTCGAATTTTCTAGGATTTACCGGGCACCACAGCCCCTGCCCCCTGCCCCCCAGGCTGAGGAGGCCTCCTGAGGTTACCTGCTGTGCTGCCCTTTCTCCTGCTTCCCACAAGGCACTTGGCACAGTCCCCCCTCCTCCACAGACCACGCCCACATGGCTTCACTGACTTCAGTCCCTCCAGGGAACCCCACGCCCATCTCATCCTCCTTAAACTGAGCCTCCTGAACACTTTTTGCCACTGCTTCTGTGGGCGTCCTTCAGGTTAACTTCTATTACAGGCCTCCGGACAGGCTCACTTCTAGAAACCTACCCTCAGGGCCTAACCTCCTGGAATGCAATGCGGTGGGGCCATCCTCCACCTCCCAACACCTCAGAGTGCTTTGTGGGCTCAGGCCTCACTCACCATTCCTGCCATCCAGTGGCACCTGGCTCAGCACGGTCAGGCCGACCAGGACGTAGTAGATGAGTCCAAAACAATACTGCACAAGGTGAATCACGGCGTTGGAGAAGACACTGACGTAGAAGCACTCGAAGAGCCTCCGCACGCTGTGCAGCCACAGGAACACGAGCACTAAGAAGGCAGACAGTGCCAGCTCACCCCCTGCAATCCAGAAGGCGACAGTTCAGGGCCTCTCTTCTGGGACTAAACCAAAGGTTTTGTTTTTCCCTACTGTTCAACAGGGTCTCAAAACAGATGCGAGCTGGGAAAAGGCCCTGAACTATCCTGCCTGGTGGGATCCCCAGGGTCACAGGCACTGCGGAGGCAGAGATGGAGACAGGAATAGAAAGAATCATGCATTTCTTTCCATATTAATGACAAAGAAGGTCTGGGGATGGAGCTCCGTAGTAGAGTGCTTGCCTAAGATGCATGAGGCCCTAGGTTTGATCCCCAGCATTTCAAAAAATTTTAAAAAAAGGAGTTATATTTTTAGTGGATAGTGAGCTCTGAGATCTACCTTCCTGCCTGCCTCTTATTCCTCTGCTCCCAGTCTGAAGAAAAGCTGATTTTTAAAATAACATTAAGAAGTAATTTTTCTTTTTTTAAAATGAGTAATACATACACACCCCCTATAAGGTACAGCTTAAATTTTTACAAACGAAATCAACCCACAAGGCGATAGTAACCAGCACCTAAACCAAAAAAGAGAGCTCAACCAGCACCCCCTAGTGTTCCCTTCTAGGAACTACCTGTTCCTTTCACCACCCAAGGTACACCCACCCCTGTCCTGACTTCTATCAGCATAGATTCGTATCAGCACCAGCTATTTTTGTGTTTTTAAATGAATTTTAAACTTGGTGTTTTTTTTAAAAACTCTTTAGGAATAGGTTCGAACAAACTTACAGATAAAACTCCTCAAAACCAACCCTCCAGATACCAAAACACCAGCCAGTAACACAGCAAACAAATCAGGGACAAAGTTTTAGAATGAAGTGGGATTTGCTGAGTAGCTGCCTCTCCCAAATAGGACGTGGCTGGGTTTTCTCCTCTGACTGTCATCTTTTGCAACAAGTCCCAGGGGTTATATAGAAAAAGACTGTTTCTAGGGGCCCAGTGGTTTGGCTGGTGGATCAAAGAACAGAGACAAGGAAAGAGGACAATTTGTTTTGAATTTTGCCCCTCGTCCTCTGTCTGACCTTAACTGAGGCCACTTCACAGCTTTCATCATCAATTCATTTTATTTATGTATTTATTTGAGATGTGGGCAGAGACCTCATTATGCTGTCCAGGCCGGTCTCCAATTCCTCAGGTTAAGCAATCCTCCTGCCTGTTTCCTCCTGAGTAGCTACGACCACAGGCAGGAACCATAGTACATAGATTCATTTGCTAACTTTAAAAACTTTTCTACATATCCTCATCTCCTGCTGAGTGTGGCAAACTTAAAGGCTAGTTTGTGATTATCTGACCAACATCTACTTGCAGACAATTTTATCCCGTAACTAAAGCCTCACAGCATATACCTTTTCACGTTTACCAAAAAGCAATTAAAAAAAAAAAAAAAGCAAGTTTCTGTGTGTTCTAAGATGTGATTCTGTCCGGAACTCTATCAGTGATAAATGTTGCAAGGCAAACCTGAGGGATCCTCACAGCTTCCCCTTTCTGTAAAGACTTCTTTATGACTTTATCAACAGAACTAAACATATCAGAGGGAGAACAGCCAGTCCTGTGCACAACTGTGCTTGGGGGACATTGGGAGTCACAGCGCTAATGCTGAGCTCTGCCATGATCTCAGGGAGGAGGACTTTGGGACATCCCCTTGGCCAACTAGCAAGGAACCATGCAAAACCCTTCTTGCCCTGGCTCTCTACTTCCCAGGCCCTGCAGGAGAGGCAGGAAATGCAGCATAGCTCCCTGCAGACAGGAGGGCAGGGGCAGGATGTAGTGTTATGAAGAGGCTGGCAGATTTTACCTTGGAACTGTGCTGCCCCAAGAATTCTGAGCAAACGGTGAAGCCACTGTGGAAGAGGTACTCCCAGGAACAGAGACTGGGTAAGGAACCAAAGCAGGAAGCCATTCCACAGCACGGAGATGACGTAGAAGTGAGAAAAATACCTGCAAAAGGAAAAGGAGTTAGGTAACAATTGGGGTAGATCTGTGTAAAGCCCTTAAGCAGGAAGTATTTCTAGTTGTTCTTTCTTCCTAAAGCCCAAAGTAGAGTTTTGCTTTCTTTTAACAGAATCTGAATCCCACAGGTGTTCAGATTTTTAAAATTCCCTTTCAAATAATAAGACTAGTTAACTGATAGAAAAAGAGTTTCACAAGAACACAGTTGACTTTGTTAGAGTAGACTGAGGGTCAGTTAGTGATTTCTTTCATTTCTGGGTAACAGAACTTGGCCTACCTTTCAAATAAGGGGGCCATGGGCCTTACAAAGACAATCTAGATTGTGCTGTAACTCATAAAATCACCCAATATGGCATAAGGTTCTGTTGAGGCTATCCTACCTAAAGTTGAGTATCCCTTATCCAAAATGCTTAGGACCAGCAGTATTTTGGATTTTGAATATTTTTAAAATTTTGGAATATTTGTATGGTCATCTGTAGATAGGTGAGAATTCAAGTCTAAACACAGAATTCACTTTTGTTTCCCATATGTCTAATACATACACACTGGGGATAATGTTATACAATACTTTTTAGTGCACCTGAGTTTTGAGCGGACCCATCATGTGAGGTCAGGTATGGAATCTTTCCATCTGGGGCATTATGTCAGCTGGAGCATTTTGGATTTTTGGATTAGGGATGCTCAACCTGTATTTTTCCTCTATTGAGATCAGTTCAAAACCTTTCTGGCTCTACTGGGAGCCTGGCGATCACTAGACCTTCCCTGGTTTACCATAGGCTCCCTCCATTTCTCTTTAGTCTGTGACAATGAAAGACAACCGGGACCAAAGGGAAGTTAGATATAAACTCAGACTCCTCTCCACATGAGCCACGATATGTTTGTTAGAGACTCACAGCCCCCAGAGCAGGCCCATAAACCCGGTGGGCCGAATGCTGATCTAAGATGTTCATTCCATGGAAAACTCACTCCATTCTTCCCATTACTGACAGCCAATCCCACCCCTGGCTCTGCTCGCTCTGGCCACACAGAGCAGCACGAATCTAATTCCACAGAAGAGCTCTGAAACTATTTGAAGAGAGCCACTTTCTCCTCCTGGCTCAAGAGCCCAATTTTCTCAAAAGTTCATCATCAGGGTCAGTTGCCACCCCTGGGTCCTGATTGTTAGACAAGGCACACCTCCCAGAATTGAGTCCCGGGGTGGGCTACGCATGTGCAGTGCAGGGTCAAAAAGGCTTTGCTCTGCAGGGTCCTGTGGGAAGGGGAGGGCGGGCTTCTGAAGAGCAACTTCTAGGCCAGCCACTTGAGCTGCTTCATTTTCCCCAAAGCATTTATGGATCGCTTAGATTGTGCTGGATAATGCTCTAGGAGTGAGGACTCAGCAGGGAGCAAACAATCCGGTCCTGCCTTAATGGAACTTAAGCTTTCAGTGGAGACTCGGCCAAAAACTAAACCTGGAGACATTTAGTGTGGAGAACAGTGATCTGAATCATGGTCTTTCTGACTCCCTCATGGCTGCCTTTACTCTGGGAACTGCCTGTGCAAAAGTGTAGGGAGAGATGGCCCAGTTGCTATGGTGACACTGGCTTGAGGAAACTGTGCAAAGGCTCAGAGTTACAATTTGGGACCCTGAGCTCCCAGGGATAGAGAATTCTCAAGTCACCCCAGTCCTGTGTCCTTCAGAGTGCCTGCTTTGCTGAAACTTTCCCACAAATAACCTTTTGATGAAACCTATATAATAAACATGCTGAGCTAGCTCTGGGTCAGTCAAGCTCCATCAGAATTTGACTGCCCACTTGGCCCCAGCTTTTTCTGAAGAGCATCTTTCTGTGCATCCGTTTGTCTTTTCTTCATTCCCCATTGCCTCTCGTCTGGTGTTCTTCCCTGAATTAATGGCCGTGGCTCAGAGACTGACGAGAAGGCCATGGCATTTTAGCATATTGTTGGGCAAGAGAACAGAGAGGGTGCAGGTGGCAGGCTACTCTGGATGAGTGGTTCAGGATGGCATCTCTGGAAGTGACGTTCAGCTACAGTGAGTAGGCCTTGTGGACTCTGGGGGAAGAACTGTAAAGGCGCGGGGGTGGGTGTATACTGGGTGTGTTCAAGAACACAAAAGGGCACCTGTGTGTGGCTGTGTCTGGATCAAGGGGGGAGAGAAGCAGAAGGTGGAATGGGAGGGGCAGAGACCACAGCGCTTGGTGGATGTTGGCTTTTGTAGTGGGAGCCGTTTAAGCAGAGGAGGGACCCAGGTAATAATTCATGTTTTAAAGATCCCTCTGGCTGATGGAAAATTTCTAGAAATGGAGAGTGGGGATGGTGGCATAACAAGGAGCATGTTCTTGGAGCCCCTGAACTGTACACTCAAAATGGGCTAACGTGACAAAATTTATGACATGTATATTTTAACACAATTTTTAAAAAAGACATTTTTAAAGGGGCATTACTCATTCACTTCATACCTAGTCACCTGCTGACCAGGTAGAGAAGTCTAGTTGTGGACAGGGGATGCAGAATAGCGCCTGGGATAACAGTTGAGATTACTAAATCTCATCTTCACAATAATCCTATGAAGTAAATGTTGTTTTCTTCATGTGGTAGATAAGAAAACTAAGGTTCAAAGAGGTCACTTTGCTTATCCAAGGTCACACAGTAAGTGGGAGCATTTGGCTCCAGACTCAAACCTGATGACTCCACAGTTCAAGTCATTGCTGCCTTCTCATTCACACAGCCTCGGCTTGCCCGAACCCGGTTCTGCCCAACAGTACACGTGCCCAAGCCACATGTCAAGCAAATCTCTCAAGCACGATTTGCATAAGTTGCTAAGCCACAACCTGTGTGCTCCTCTTGTGCCATGGTGCTTCGGATGCCAAGGCATACTTTTTTTTTAAAATTACTATTATTCCCACATTTTGTTGTGCCTTCCTAGTTTCCCTGTATAGAAAACATGTCCCACTATGTCCCCTATGGCAAGTCCTAGTGCTTGCTTGTTTTCAAAGAGCTAGCTTGAGCCTCAGAACGCTGGTGTAAAAACCCCACGGCCTCCTGTCTCTCTGTGCTCTTTCCTCTCCACTCTGGCACTCTGCTTCCTGGGAGCACTGCTGTCCAAGCCCCGGAGAGCAGGGCTCCAGTGAGCCTTATGATCACACAGGGCTCTGCGTGGGCACTCCTTCCATGAATGACCACCTGCATGATTACTATGAACCAGGGTGGCTCTGGAGTCTGGGGACACAGCAGTGAACACAGGAGACAATTCTTGCTATCATGGTTTGCACACACCCACACGCAAATTACACAGCATGGTGGCAGGCAATAGCTGCTATTCACTAAAGCAGGAAGAGGAAGAAGAAATGCTGGGGAGGGCAGAACTATAATTTTAAATGAGATGGATAAAGAGTGCCTTGCTAAAGAGGTAATATCTAACTACAACTGCAGGAAGTGAGGGCATACACAAGGTGGCCAAGTGGGGGAGAACTTTCCAGGGAGAGGGCACAGGCAGTGCAAAGGCCCTGAGGTGGGATAAAGGACTAGTAGAGAGGCCCTCAAACAGGAATAGAGCCAGTAAGGGTAAACTATAGGAGACTAAATCCACACGATGGTGGAGGGGGGCCTCTGTAGGTTCTTGAGCTTCTATTGTAAGTGGGCTGGAACTATTTTCACAGTAGTTGGAACTGTCATTATAAAGCATAAAGTACATAGGGATTACAAAGGAAATCAGCTATACTGACATGGGTAATACAACTACCAAAAAGCAAATTTTTTCATATAGTAATGTGTATTTCTCATGTATCTACAAGATCTAATTACTGTGGTCTCATGGGAATGAAAACAGTAACATTTTGAGGTATCTTTAATGTTTGCAATGCAATGTAAGAAGAACTATCACAAAGTTGCAGGTACTACTGATTCTATGGTGGATCGTTTTGAGCCCAGGAGATATGATCTCACTGAATATATATTTGCTGATTGCTGGAACTGATCCCAGGTCCCAGTTAGGAGTCACAGGATCACTAAGGAAGGGAACTAGTGTTTGCTGGGCTCTGCCCAGGTGCCTGGCCCTGTGCTAGCTGCCTTACCACCATCACCACCTACGAGCCCCACAGGTGCTGCCCTGTGACTGCCCTAACCACAGCAGCACCACCACCTTTTGCCTGGACCACCACAGGAGCCTCTTATCTAGTCCTCTCCACAGCACCCTAAGGCATCCTTTTAAAACATAACTCATGTTACACAATCCTTCCTCCCTCCACACAAACCCTTCACCTGCCTTCCACCCACTCAGAATATAGTCCAAACCCACTGTGGCCTTGGAGGCCCTGGGGACCAGTTTTCTTCCCAGCCTTCCCCTCCTTTCCAGGTTGTGACTCACACACAAGATCTTGCACAAGATCAAATAACCCTGCTGGGGGTAAGCACTTACCACCATCTGCAACCCTCCTGCTTGCTGAACAAGATCTGCGTGCATATTTTCTGTCTGTCTATAAGCTCCAAGTAGCCTAGAATAGCTCTGGGGCACGTCACAGGTACTCTATGAACACCAGTTAAATAAGCGAATGGAAAAGAAGGTAAGTAGCTCATCCAAAGTGACTCTCAGTAAGGAGTCAAGTTAATTAACAAAGCAATGAATCTTAAACCTCAAACCTCTTTTTTGACATTCATTCAAGACATACCGATGGAGAGAGGGTCTTATTACCGGCAAGGTTCTGAGCCTAGGATATGGCAACAGACTAACAAGACAAACGTAAATACCTGGGAAGTTTCCAGTCCTGAGCATGGATTCTTATCACTTCATGGACCCCTTTATCAGTCTAGCAAAGGCTATAAGCCCTTCTCAAAATGTCATTATGGGACAGAGGGATCACCAAGGAAACGATTATACTAACATATACCTAATGTAACTACCAGAAATCAAATTTGTAACGATACGTGTACTTCTTATGTATCAAATAACAAGATCTAGTGGTGAATAATGACAGTTCTACTGATGATGAAAATGTTTTGAGGTATCTTCTATATGATATGAAAACAACTATCACAAAGTTGCAGATTCTGCTAATTCTACTATGGTCTGTTGATGACATTTATTAAGGATATGCTAAATTTCAGCTAGAAGTTAGTGAAAATACATCTGTGACTTGCTTTCAATTCAAGTTTGTGCTGCATTCTATCCACAGACCCCCTGAACCTGTTGAAGACCCCCTGAACTCCAGTGGAGAAAATCTGGGCAGCTCCCTCTGCCTCCAGAGCCTAGTTCAATTGCAATGCTTCCATATTAGTCAGAACCATTTGGAAATATTAGAAACAGCAGTACTTCCATACATACTATGGAAGTCAAGAGCACTGTGACTCATGTTCCAGATCACCTATTTATTCAGCCTTTTTGGGAAATCGAAACTCTAGGAACTAAAGGAGAACAAGAAAAGCAACCGTCACTCTCATTTAAAAAAATTACCAGACAGGGTAATGGAAACGAATATTCTGGAAAATGATTTAAAGTTTTATTCCTGTTTTCTTAGGAAAAGAAAAACAAACAAAATTACCTAAGTACACCTTACATGTGGAAATGTGATTGACAGCTGTCTATTTGTACATGATCAATTAACCCTCCTAGATCTATTTGTAACTATAGAAATTATAGGCTTGTTTTCATCTTTAGGAGTGGTATTCACTGTTGTACAAGGAAAAATATTTAAATATAAGCAGGCAGGCTAAGGTTATCAAATAGTTTCAAATTCGGATTAACCAAGATATTACTAAATGTCACCATCTGGGGATAAGTTCATTCTCAGCTTTTCTCTCACCCATGGCTCAGCTTTGCACTGTGCAAGACTTTCCCCATCGGGCATACCACAGGCTAAGACTCATGTTACACAGAATTGGGATTTTAATTCCAGGGTTCAAGTACCACTCATGCTACTTGCTAGCACTGCACCATGGGGCAAGTAACCCCTTCTAAGCCTGAGTCATATCTGTGAATGTGAAAAATGACAACAAATTTCCCTCACAGGTCAACAATGAGGATTTAATGAGGAAAGTCATACACTGCATGTAGTAGTCCGTATATAAAATGCTGACCCTCAGTCAAGTTCGGTTACTGCTAAGATACCAGTAAAATCTCTCCTCTCTGCTCCCTGAATGTTAATACACTATTTTTTTCTCATTATAAAAGTTATAAGCACATTGTTAATAAAACATGGAAAATATGGATGAGTATAACAGAGGCTATAGTCTACCTACTCTAATAATTCCCCCTTTTCATAAAAATAGGGGTACAAAATTTAAAAGATTAATATAGATTTTTTGGAGACATTGCCAATTTTGATGCAAGTGTTCTATTTTTTCTTTTCTTGTGCCAATAAAAATGCCTTTTATTACTGGCCTGGATTTGTTGTCCCTTCTGTAGTGCTATAGGAGTTGTTTAAATATAGGGAACAACATCCCCACCCCACCCCGCAACACACACAGGCACTTGAACACCATGGAAGGTTGTACTCAAGAATTCTGGAAGAAAATGGAATAAATTATTTCACAATATATTACAAATTACAAGAAACCCAAAGAGTACCAATTGTTATAGGAATGAATAAGGGAAAGGCCCCAAGCCTCTTGGCTGTCATTCAGTGACAGGTATGAGCACTAACACCTGGGGCACCTGATCCAGAGAAATAGGTAAAGGCTGGTAACGATTTTTAAGTGCACTCTTTGATTCAGGGACACTAGTACATTTTCCAAAATTTAGAAAATAAATTGCCACCAATTAGAAAAGGACATTGTGTAATCAAACCTGATTAAGAGAGGATGTCAATTTTTTGCTTGAAAAAAAAAAGGTCTTTGGCCAATGCCTTGCATACTCCTTCTTCCAAGGGCCTCATTACTGTTGTTCAGGATGACCTTCTTTCTCAGTGTTAACACCTGGCTAGATCTTTCTCCCACACTGAAGAGTGGGGGATAGTTTCAGGAACCGACTGTTCTAGACTTGGCCCTTTTGTGGTCTGTGGACCTGGGGCACCACCCGCGGGTGTTGGGCAGGATAACCCATAAGTTTAAACCATCAGAAACCATATCGTAATTCTTTCCGTTTCATTTCTAAACGTTAATTTAAGATTCAACTCAAAGGTAGAAAACATTTCTACTCTATTCTACTGTTTAGTATTTGTCTGACTCTTCCTATGTATGTCCTGAATTCAAAGTGGCCAAAGAAAGAGTTCAACGTTGGGGGGGGGGAGGGGGGGAGGGAGAGAGGGGGAGAGAGGGGGAGAGAGGGGGAGAGAGGGGGAGAGAGGGGGAGAGAGGGGGAGAGAGGGGGAGAGAGGGAGAGAGAGGGAGAGAGAGAGAGAGAGAATTCAAAGTGAAGAAAGAATGAATGAAAGAAAATCTGCTGTAAGTCTCCATAATTTTTGAATGAATTCTATTTCAGTCCTAATGATCTAATCCTTCACGGAACTTAATTATGAAATCTGTTGAAAGTCAAATGGAGCTTAGGAAGAGACTGGCCTAAAATGTGTCACCCTGAACAACCTCCTCCAGGGGCATCTGCCAAGGAACGGCCTGAGGAGGTGGCATCCCTGCGATGACCATCTCTCAGTCTTATCTGACTGCGAGGGGTTGGGGTGCCACGGGCAGGTCTGCCTTCATTTCCATAAATCCCGGCGACCTCAAGTCAGGCTGTGAGCCCCTTGAGTGCAGGAGAGGGGGACGAAGAGAATTTGGGACAAAGGAGACTAGTTCGCCGCATGGCCGGGACTAAATTCGGATGTCCTTTCATTTCCGGGAAAGAAAGGCTCCGAGCGGCCACAAGTTCACATTCCAGCGCCCGCGACACTGCGCGCGGTTCTGCTCCTGGGTGTCCGGAGACACCTGGGGCACTGCGCCCCCGGGGCCACCAAGCGTTACAGAACAGAGCCCAGCCGCGCCCGGAACCCGCCGGGCCCGCAGCCCAGGTCGCCTCTGCTGCCCCCTGCCGGCTGCCCGCGAGCAGGGCGCCCCGGGCCGTCAGCGCCTGGGCAACCGCGGTTACCTCTTGGGGACATCAAAGGCCCGGCAGACAGCCGGGCGCCGCGGCCCCCCCAGCTTGGTTTTCCCATAGCGGATCAGGTCCTGGAAGAGCGCGCAGCCCGGGAGCAGGCTGGGCGGCACGAGCTGCAGCAGCAAGGTCAGCAGGAAGGCGGCGGCCAGCGCCAGCCACAGCGCGCGCAGCGGGTTCAGCGACGAGGCCTCGGACCCCGCCCAGGGAGCCATGGCCCGCGCTCCCGGCGTCCACAAACCCGCGCCACGCCACCGCCCCGGAGGAGCGGCCACTCCCGCCGCGCGCCGGCCCCGCGGGGCTGGACGTCGATGACGTGGCGCGGGGCGGGGACTCGCTGGGCCCCTCCCCGGACTCACCGCCCAGCGGCGCGCGTTCAGGGGCCGCGGTTCTCCAGGCTGCAGCTGCGCACTCGCGGTCCCTCCTCTGACACTGGGGATTCCTCGATGGAACTCCAGAGAGTCATTAAGCAGGATACGAGACCACGTGGCTGCAAGTCTTCACCGCAGCATTGTTTCCAATGGAAAAGCGGAATCACTCCTCAGTGTTCCACTTTGGTGTATTTAGCTATCGTTAGACGCACTGGCATGACAATTATGGAGACTAGAAACGCAGAAAATCGTCTGTGACAGCTTTAATGATATGCTAAGTTAAAACAGAAAAGCCGTCTATAAAATACATAGGATTGCAAACAACTTTATTAATATGAACATGTGTATATGTGGATTAAGAATGCAGGTCATGCACAAAAAATGAATAGTTGTATTAGAGTGTTGGGAATGTGTATAATGTAAATATATAAAGTACAAAGTCATCAAAGTAATGGCACATAATAAAAAGTGTAGGGAGGAAAACATTGTATTTAAAAAACAGCAGAACCCTACCCACTAGAGTTCCAGTCCCTAGAAGAAAAGTTTTTAGCTCCATCAGCCGCTGCTTCTGATATTTACCTCCATGTAGTGACCATGCTACTTCTCGATTCATCAATTTTAAAACAGCATAGCTTTTTCTGTTTCTGAAAATGGAAATTTACCTCTTTTGAGTACTTAAAAAGCCTTTAAAATGTTAATTCAGAGAAATATTACTGTATGCCTACTGTGTGGCAGGCACTCTTTTGTACACTGAGGACAGAGAGGTTGGTAAGAGGAGTGCTGCTTCCTATTTGGATCTTACATTCTGGGGTGGGTAAGGGATTGAAGAAGGGAGAGGTAGTTTGCTCATCCCCTTTTCCCTAGTGAGGTAACCTAAATGATGTGGGTTGAAGTAGGTGGGCAGGTGAGTAGGATTTTAATTATTCTTTGGATGTTTAAAGTTTTGCTTCTTTGTGCAAGAAAGATAAGGGTTGGGCAAATGGACATTCCAGCTAGGACAATGAGGCCCTTTTGTGTGACCTAGGATCCTTTCTGCAGGAGTCACCCTTCGTTGTTTCTTTATTGTTCTTGGGTTAATTCCATAGAGATGCAGCTGGCCTTCCTATGGCATCTTTCCAAAGAAGTCTCTTATAAGTACATAATGGGACCAAGTTTCCTGGGCAGGAGGTTTTCTTATGGTTATCTGACCTGGGGAAGGAGTCCTAATAAGATAGGGATGTGTGTGTGTGTGTGTGTGTGTGTGTGTGTGTGTGTGTTTTGTGTGTGTGTGTATTGGAAATAGAAAAAATCTGAGACTGGGGGAAAATGTCCCATATTTTGGGGTTTGGATTTAATCAGAATACACAGAGAAGCTCTCTGTGGAGGGAGTGGCTGAATAGGAATGCATAGTCCACCCTGTTGGGAGCATTTGTAAATGTTTAAATACCTGCTCAAGTGAGTTATTTCAAAAGTGGAAACCAGGCTAAAGTTTGTGAGAAAGATTATTGCCAGCAAGAATCAGTCAACATTTTAGTCTTTCTTCATTTAATCAGCAGCACTGTATGTTCCACTAAATAAATAAATAAATAAACAAATAAATAAAAGTCGTAAGGACTACAAAGAAAGAACTAAAACTGTCACTGTTTGAAGGCAATATGAAACTTCAATAATAGAACTCCAGTAAGGGTCTACAGATGAGCTGTTTGGACTAGTAGAAGAGTTTGGTGAGGTTGCTGAAGAAAATAATCAACACATATTGGTTGTTTTTATTTCCTAGCAAACAGGAAAGAAATGTTTTAATGATAGAATTTCCAGTGGCATAAAAGATCCTGTGCCTAGGGATAAATCTAATAAAAGACAAAAAAGATGTCTTCAAAGAACATAATAAAGCATTATGATATTAAAGAAAATATATTTAAAACGAGGGGTATACTAAGCTTATAAACTGGCAGATTCAATGTGGTTAAGATGACAACTCTCCCCAAACTGATTTATGAAATAAATATAATACTAATCCAACTCCAACTTTTTGTTAAACCTTAAACTGATTATAAACTTTATATTGAAGCAGGAAGGGCTAAATATAGAATGGAGAAAAAAACATTAGAAGATTTGCTTGGTGAGGTATCAAGACTAGTATAGTGACAGCATTAGTCTGGTACACAGAAGCAGAGACAGAAACAATGGAATGTAACGAAGAGTCCAGAAAAAGACCCCCATGTCTATGAACACTTGATATATGTTTGAGGTTGTATGTTTTACCAATGGAGAAAGAATAACTTTACAATATATGGGGCCTCGACAAATGAGTAAACCACAGGGATAGATATAAAGATAGAAATGAGATCTTTTTCTAACTCCATTAATAAAAATCAGTTCCAATAGGATTACAGACTGTCAAAGGCAAAATGAATCTTCTAGAAGGTAATACAGGAGACCATTTTCATGGTAAGGAAAGTTATCTTAGTCAAGATATAAAAAGCAACTAGAGGAAAATATCAATATATTCTGAAACATTAAAATTAAAATCTCTGCATGAAAAGGTGCCACAGAGTGAAATAAACACAAGGCAAGAGTAGGAAATGGTACTTGCTACACATATTACCAGGATTGATTAGTATCTTACAAATTCATTTTTAAAATGACAGATGTGCAAAAGGAAACATGCTGAAGTCCTAATGGGCATTTCCCCAGCGAGGTATTCAAATAACCAGTAAATCTGAAAAGGTGACAAATCACATTAATAAGAGGAAATTACATGATGAAATACAATCCTACTTCAGAATTGCTGAAAGGAAAGTTCAAGTTTTGGAACAGCTGAACTGCTGGAGTAGTATATTGTAGCAACCACTTTGGAAAACACTTTGGCATTATCTAGTGAAGTTAAAGACACCATATGCTATGACCCCAAATTCCATTCCTGGGTGATTACTGCAGAAATGAAAACACACTTAAAAGGAACCTGATGTAACTACATGTAATCATGGATGAATCTCACAAATACGACATTACATGAGACAAGTCAAGACACCCAAGGGCACACTGTATATTTCTATTTACATAAAGTTCAAAAACTGAAGAAAAACAAGGAAATGATAAGAGACAAATCACAAGGGACAGGAGTTTTATTGGGAAGGGATTATATATGAGGAATTTTGGGGTTCAATATGTGTGGCTACAGGGCCATTGATAGTATTATTATACAGTCTATGCTTCATGAAATTTTATGTATCTTTCTATCATTTCACAATAAAATGTTAGAAAACTATATTCCTAATCTGATCACTTCATGCCACTAACTTGGTCGAGGCTACTTTCCTCTGGATATGTATTAGTGCAACAGACTCCTAATTAGTCTTTGCTTTCTCTACCGTCCCTCTTAAATTTATTCTCAAAACAGTAATCAGATTAATAAAATAAATTGTATCATTCTTTTGCTCAAAATCCTCCAGTGGGCTTCCATTTCACTTGGCGTAAAAGCCCAGTGTTTCTAATGACCTACACACCTCTGTTACATGGCCTACCAAACCAGATCACACCCCCATCCAATCTGCATCTGGGAGTTTATCTGCTACTCTTTTCCTTGCTTGTCTCTTACTCTAAACACAGCCACATGGGAATTAGGGTCTCAACAAATGAATTTTGGAGGGCCTATCTGTTCTATCCATGACACTGGTCTAGTGGTTACTCAAGCACACCAAACCCCAGTGCCTTTTGTCTGAAATGTTCCCTCTTCCAGGAATGTTCTTTATTGAGGTCATTGAATATCTTGCCTCTTCACTAGTGTAAGAGGCAGTGTTCCCAATCTCACCATTTTAAACAGCAACCTCCCCTGACTCTCCACACTCTCATTTTTCTCCAAATTCCTTTCCAATTCGTGCAATCTCTTACATAGTATTTTTTTATGTTTTTATTGTCCCCATTAGAATATAAACACTATGAGGGCAAAGATTTTTGCCTATCTTGTTTGTTATTATATCCTCAGCAGCTAAACAGTGCTGGGAACATAGGAGACGCTCAATAAATACCTGAGGAATAAGTGAACAAATTTACTGGGCATCTACTGTGTATAAGGCTTTATAACGTGAGCTATGGGGAGAGGTTATAATGACCAAGATCATGGGCTCTTTGAGCAGAATGTCAAGGAAAAGGCTGTGGGCTCTGGAGGCAGATGCCCTTGGGTTAGACTAACAGCTCTATCACTGACGATGAGCTGACTAACATGTGTTGGCTTATCTCACCTGTAACTTAGAACCCATCTCAGAGCTGCTGAGCTAGTTGAGGGAAGTCAAGTGCTTAAAGGTCTTTGCTCAGAACATGATGGCTTTGTTTGCATTCTTCTTATCTATTAGAGGATTAGTATCACGTCTTATAAGAATAATTTAAATGAAAGCAACGTATGTACCACCTGTCACATCCGTATCCAAAAATGTTAATTCTATGGACATTTGAAGTGTTAATCACAACAAAGAGGAGAATAAGGGCTAAGTGGAGGCAAGAGGGGTTATTGCTAACTGGTGTGGCTGGCTTCCTTCGGATCTTGAAGGATGAGAGGTGTTCCTGACAGGTGAGGAAACCAAGGGGAAAACACCTTCTCCACTAAGTCCTGTTTTGGTGGTGGTCCATCAGATCCCCCTGGGAAGGAAGTGGCTTTGCTCACCTTTTGTCAGCAGGTGGAGTGTTGGCACCAGCCGCCAGCATTTCCGCTTTGACACCACTGCTCCTTTTCCCATGTGACTTGGCTTCCCCTGCAGAACAGAAGAGCTGGGTGGGCAGCCGACTGTGTCTTCTATGCCTAGCCAGTGGCAGGTGGACAGCAACTGAACCATCCTCCAGAGAGATTTGAATCTTCCAGCTTACTCTGGAGTAGTATGCAGAACGGAAGTGGCAGGTGGGCAAGGGTGGGCAAGATGGAGGCAGGAGAGCAGATGGGAA